ATTAATATACACGCATATATATATATATGGAGAATGACACATACTACAAGTATTATGTGAAACTACAAAAATAAGAGGTTCAACTAAGATTATTCCATAGAAGAATCTTATTAATTGCATATATAAAATATTAACTACGAAAAAATATTTTGATTGCTCGTGATCTTGACCTCAACGTACTGTAGGTTTTGAAATGTTTTGAGTGATATATTATGATATGTGAAGGATTACTCTCTGAGACATAATAATCATTGTTGAGCCAATAAAATATTATGAAAATTTAACTTTCCAAAAATAAAAAGATATAGAGTTTTGTAGATAATCAATTCCTCAATAACATGTATTAGACATTGGTCGTGGCATTTTCCATTTATATGTCAGTTTTATTAGTCAACATAAGTTTAATTCTTCTCAAACGATGTTTTAATAGTAACAAAAACACATATTAAAGCCATTTCTTACATAACTATATTCATTTGATACATTATATTTAATTTGACCATATACAATAGCAGCATATCATCGGTAATCTGTTAGTCAAATATTGCATTCAGACAAACTTTTCGCGTATCAGTTCAACTCTTCATAAAGTTGAGAGCGTGTAACCTTGTATGAATTGCTACATCAAACTATGTTATTCGAGCTGTCAATACTATTTAAATAAGTTAATTGGAAAAATATTTAACAGGAACAGCAATTCGATATATGAGTACCTCAATAACACTTGAATAGTTATCTAACAAATAAATTCAAGCTAAGATATAAATATGCAGAGCGTCAAAGAATTCCAGACATTATCAAAATATATATGGAATCAGTTATTATAAAAAGTTGTTTTTATAGTAAAAATAAATTTATTATTTAACAAACAAGCACAAAGCAAAATATTGAATACACAAAGAAATAGAAAACTCACAGAAATGTTAACAGCATATAGTTAGTTCTCTAATTGTGTGATTTTTATATCAGTAATATATTTGTACAATCAATTGCAATTATATCTTTTTATACTAAAAATCATCAAATTAAAATAATATAAAATGGAATATAAAAATAATGAGACAAATTATCGTTTTTTTTTCTTTCAAGTTTAAATTGATCTAGTTGTTTTCAATTTTTATACTTTAGAATTTGATTTGATCACGTATAATGAGAAAAGTAGTATCAATAACAAACAAAGATGATCTTAAAGTCATGATCAACAAAAACAAAAGAGTCAATCCTATTATTTATGTCATAACAAATTTATTTCTATTTTGAATCTCTCATATTATTGATAACTAATGTCTTACAAAATTCTTATTTTGATTAAACGAGTTCATAAACAAGTTTTTGCTTCGCTAGCGATATGATTTTCAATGGATCTAAATTCCATCTAATGCAAATTAGAGATAATAAAGACTAAAGTTGTTTTAGACAACCTTCGATGATTTTATGAATTCGTAAGATCTACATTTAATGCAGACATGGGCGAATGATCGCTAATACCGACAACAAGCGGTTAGGGCTTGAATCAAGGAAGACTGATTTTGTTCATATATAATTTAATGACGGTATGCTTTGATAGCTGAATATGAACTATTCATTCAAGATCTCTTTGATTGAAATCAATGGCTCCTTTTGTTAAAATCAAACAAATCAATAATCATTTTATTGTAAAAAAAAAAGTGATGAATAAAAACGAGACACACAAAATAGTTTTTTTTTTCCGATCTTCATTGATTCTTTCGGTTGAGTTTATTATAATGATCCAATATTCAGTAAGCTTTTATCCATAAAACGACGCCGAACAAAACAAAGCCACCACTAAAAGAAAAGATATAATCAAATTTCTATTAAAATAAAACTAACAATTAATCTTTACTTTTGATGGTTTATCCGTTTCTGGATCGATGACTCGATCAACCATACGATCACTACATTCTTTACGTAATTGTTCAAGATACTGTTTCATTTTTTCTATAAAACAAAAAAAAAACATGAATCTTTCAATATCTTTTTCTTTAAATAAAAAAACAAAAGAGATCAATAACTAACCAACTTCACTATTTGCTGGTTTAACAAACATGCCATTAAGTGGAAAATCTGCATCGCCTGGAATTGGAAATGTTGAAATAGCTAATGCTGATAATTCTTTTTGTGCTTGAACACGTGATTGACACTAAATTCAATTTATTATTATTAGTTTCATTGAATTAGAAAGAAAGAAAATTCGAACTTTTTGAAGACGCCGTAAACATTCAGTTATATACAATGTTAAATAGATCATTGTTCGATCCGCATCATGCTTAAGTAAACAAAAACAAAAAAAAGAATCAATTAATTTTAAAAAAAAAACTTCATGAAACTTACTTTAATATCATAATTACGAAAGAATATATTAGGTCGAAAATATTTTATGGCTTCATCAATTATATCTTCATTTTCAGTAGCTAGAAAAATATAAGATTAGAATATTATTCAAACGATATTTCTTTAATTATCAAAAACATTTTTGAATAATGGAGCATTTCATTAGATGTGAAGGTGTAAGCCGATACACTGATCGGTGGTGGTGGTTGAATTTTTTTCAAAATTTTCTTAATTTCGGAAAATTTTCGAATGAAAAAGAGAGAAAACGATGACAGAGAACTTATTGACAACGCACCAGACGGTAACATCTCCAAAAACTAATTTTAGACGTTGACCATTTTTAAAAATCAAATTTCTATTTTTGTGTTACGGTGGCGACTTAGTCGATCGGTTAACATCTCTAGCTAGATGATATAAAAGGTCATCATACACTCGTTTATACTTAAGCCACAAGTGATCATGATCTATTGCTTTATTCATAGCTTAACTCGATTCAATTTGACGTATTCAATGGATTTCTTAGTACAATGTAGTCACATTTGACTGGATCCTAGGTATAACATAAAATTAGGCAGAGAAATCGATCGAGCACTAAGGACCTGCAGGTTCATGTTTTTGTGAGGCTTGCACTTCCCTACCGAGTGCTCATAAGTTGTTCCGTGTTTATATAAATGATCGCGGTTCCAACGTCTTTTATTCGATCTGAAAAGCAGTTTAACCAATCAATAATTCTAAAACGAAGTCAAGAGTTTCTTCGTGATGAAATATAATCAAGCTTAGATATCAGTTTCTGATGGTGGATTTTTTCCTATTTCAAAATTGATTCTAAGTCTTTTGATAGTTATGCTTACAGGTTTCTGTTGGAGCCGGACCACTGTAACGTGTTCGAATAGGCAGTAGTGCCATATTTCCTATACGAAATTTGCTATTAGCAAATGAAGAATGATAAGCCTTGAATAAATAAATAAATAAATTTTTATATACAATATTAAATTGAGTTTTACCATTATTTGCTTGATATTAATAAACAAACAAAAAATCTGAAATGAAATAATGAACCATTGTTCTACATGACTAATGCTGATTTTATCAGAAAAACATAAGATAAACAAGATAATGAATATCATAAAGTGACCAAGATAAAAATCAGCATGAAGAGAGAAAAAATATTCATACACAATGCACAATGTTTGATTGTGAACAATTAAAAAAAAATAGTTAAAAATTAGCAAAAAGAAAAACAATCAAACTGTTAAAAGTTCATCAACATTTATAGATGCTGTTGGAAGCGACGATTGATTATGAGTATTTATATCTTGTTCAACATTTGATGTTGTTGAGCTAACTGTAATTAATTGTGTATCACGAGGATAATGCGTAAAATTATCAGATGTAGAAACAGATGAATTATTCAAATTTTGAT